CCTAGCCACGTCACTGGGATGTGTAAACCATCAACAAGTTAAGGATTTTAAGGCACAGTATCTATGTTTTCATTGTGTTCACTCTCCATGTCCTTACATACAATTTGTGTCTTTTGATTTAGTTTTCATCTTTGTGTAAGGTACTATGTGTCTAGGTTGTTTATGATCAAATAAACAAAACCAGTTTCTCTTATCATGAGCAGTAATTTCACAGAAATTGATCTTTTCTCTTGTTAAAAGGCCTTGTTGCCCTCAGTGTTTGCACCTTCCATCCCTTCTAAGTACGGCTCAAAGCTTGTTGACTGAAGCTTTTCATAGCATCCATGTCTGTCTCACCCAAGTTTTGCATATGATCACAGCTGCCGGAAACCTGACTACAGATATTCCATCAGTGGGGACATGATGTATCCCATTGTCCTGCAATCCCAGCCTAATTCAAGATTTATATCTTGTGATTTACAGACACTTGAAGTGTGTCAACCAATGATAACTTCAAATATTGCAAGTCTGTGAAATACACAGTATGTAGGTATGATGTTCCAAAAAAACAAAAAAAAAAAACAAAAAACAAAAACCTTGTCAAATCTGCACGATCAATCTTTTTGTCTTGCAGTACATGAACCACTTTGGTGAGGAGCCTCTCCGTGTGACGCTCCCCGCGGCCGCAGCTTTACACGCCATTCAAAACGCAAGCGTATTCAGCCAAACCACAAACAACGGGTTCACATTCACCGACTCGGCCACCAGTCCGAGGGGGGAAAAAATGAAGCAATAAATAAAATAACCACTATCTCACTTCTTTCATTTCGTGAAAAGGCACAGATCTTCTCATGTGTATGTGTAATTATTTCCCTCTCCGGCTCGGCGTTGTCACTGGGGACTGAGGCTGTCGAGTCGCTGCCAAAGCCCCATTCACTGTCTGCACATAGCCAGTGTTACGCAACGGCTAATTACTTCCACTCGGCCCCAACAAAACCATGGAGAGGAAGAGGGAGAGAGTAAGAGAGAGAAAGGAACAGAGGGGAAAGAGAGTGATAAAATAAAATAGACAGAGAGGAGGAGAGACAGCCAGACAGGAGGACAAGCAAGAAGAAAGTCAAAGAGGAAAAAGACAGAAATCATAAGGCAGACAAAGGAAAGGTAGGATGTGGAGAGATAAAGTAACAGGGAAAAAGGAGCGCTAAGAGAAAAAGAGAGAGGAGAGGAGGGGGAGAATGAGTGCGAGGGAGAGAGCAAGTAAAGGACAGAAACAAAGGGAGTGCAGGACAGGGAGACGGAGAATGAAGGAGAGATAAAAGACCATCTTCCTCCTCTCCCTGCGTCTCCTCCGCTGTGTTTTGGTAAGGAGAGGCACAAAGAAAACAACATCAAACCATAATGACCTCTTCACCAGCCGCCAAAACAGTTTTACCGAAAATCATGCCGCAGCGGCCAAATATGGTCCAAGGAGAGAGGCAAATGTGGAAGAGGAGTGTTGTCAAAGCCAGACGGGGCCCGCAGCCCTTTTCCTCTCCAACAATTTTTAGAGATGATGTCATTATTCATAAAAAAAAAAAAAAAAAAAAATAGAAAAAGAAAAATGTGTCTGCGCCTCTGGCTTGACTAGAGCGAAGGGAAGAGGGAAAGGTGGGAGAGATGGAGGAGGGAAGGCAAGGAGAGGGGGAGATGTAGAGATTAAGACATCGAAAAGAGAGGAAGGAAAAAGAGGAAAGAGAAAAGAGGAAAAGAGAGAGTTAGATGGGGACAAAAATAGTTAACAGAAACAGGAAAGAAACATGACATAAATAGAAGAGAGAGGGGGGAGAGAGGGAAAACTACCTCACTTCATGTTTATGCTTCTCATGCTTTATGCTTTCTTATTTTCGGGTTACCAAAATCTCTTTAATATGAGCAAAATTTAGAATAACTAAATAACTCGAATAAACCTCGATAAAACGTGAATTAGTGAGTTTTAGAGGTGAAGGAAGGAGGATTTGCATTCAAGAGAGGCAGGTGAGCCGTTTCCCCTGTTTGCTTTAACATTCCTCAACTCAACCCACATTTCCTACTGCTTCTTCAACTTCTTCGCCAATAAAGAGAAATAATGAGTGAAAGCAGTACGAGCACTGCTACGATCGCAGAGAGCTAACTGTCAATTTTTGAGGAATAAAAAGAACCCGCACGTGTTTGGCGACACCTGGGCCACGAGGTAGCAACGGCGACCCTCCGCACACGATCAGCGGCACAACTGCTTCGCACCAACACGAGCCTGTTGCTCTTCGATGGAGAGAGCGAACATCGTGCAACTTCGTGGCAGTTCTACCACGTGCACTGCAAACCATTCAGGTTTTACAACACTGCACCGAGAGTTCAATCAATTTCATCTCTCGGTGTTGCCCCACCATGTATACATGACATCCTGTTATCACACAACGGATCAAATCTACTCATTGATGCCTTAAGTTTTTTTCAGTTCTACATGTACGGGACGCTGTTCTTTCCCTGTACTCTAAAAGGAGGAGTTTGTGGACTGTTTCAGGATTTTTTTTCTTTTTTTGTACCCAACTCTGAAAAGACATGACTTCCTGTGTGGGAATAAGGTTTCCTACCGCCGATTCTGCCCCGACCACAGAGGCTTGTATGGGCAAATCCAAGGAAGTCTCAAGCATCGCTGGTGATTTCAGCCCAAACGAATCACAGAGCAGCGTGAGGAGAGGAAAAGAACGAGGCAGGGGAAGAAAGAGGGGCGTCGAGATGACAGACGAGAGAAAAAAAGATGAACACACCTCCGTCTGAGACTCTGACAGAGACCATCAGCTCGGTCACACTTACGTTTGCCGTCTTCTCCTTTATCTCATCTGTCCATTTTCACTCCATTTCAACATCACTGTATATCACTTTATCATTCTGTCACATATAAGATAATAGATAAGCCCCCATTCACTCATCTATCCTTGCCTATCTTTGCCATTTCTCTTCCTCTCCCAATCTGCTCATTCATCTCTCTGCTCTCGGGCTCTGTTCAGTCTCTCAGCTCCGCACTGTTTGTGTGTGTCTCCTGAGATATGATCCTATTAGACAATGTAAACAGTAAGGGTGACACATTTATCCTTTCAATCTCAGAATCATATAAATGATCCAGATTTCTTTTTTTTTTTTTTTTGCATTTTCATTTCTATTATTTATTACCTTTGTCTCCTGCCCTCATTAAGACTCAGAGGAACTCGATTTTTCATTTCTTGTTTTTCTATTTTGGAAACTCAATTTCTTCTCTCGAGTGAAACTGTTTATGCAAGCGTATTCCCTTGCAAGTCAGAGACTGTTTCAGGTTTCCTCATCAGGTATGACATTTCATTCGGCAACACTTGATTATTTGATTCGCAGTTTGCATATAGTTTGTTTGAAGCGCTTACTGTATGTCTATGGATCTGCCTGGAGTTTGTACTCACACAATCACTAACCAGCTCCTTTTTGCTGCAGTTAAGCTCAAACATCAATTAGAAACAAGCTAATTTTTTAACCTTATTTAAAGTAGACAGTCATCTTTTTTTAGAATAATAAGTGTTTTCCACTCTAGTCCTTTAATTCATTGGAAAAAAAAGGCAGACAAATGACACAAAATGCCTCCAATGACATCAAACACTTAAACTCAAGAGTAGAAACAAGAGGAACACGCACTTAAACTCTTTCAAATGAAAGAGGTGGAAAACATTTATCAGGCTTTTCATTTTCTACTCATCATGTTCACTCTGTTTCTGGCTGTTTCATACCCAACAAAAATGTAACATACAGAAGTTCTTTACTTTTCTTTGACTTCTTTCGGGACAGGTAAAAAAAAAAAAAAAACTGACAGAAATCTCACATGACTGGATAATTTGTCTGCCTATCAAAGAGAATGCGTGTTTGTATGTGCGTGCGTGCGCATGTGTATGTGTGTGTGGCCTCCCAGTATGACATGTCTGTCTAACAGGCATTACCAGGCAGTCTGAGCATTTTCATTAGTTCCTAGAACGCCAAACAAACCACATGGGTATGTGAAGCAGCTGCAGTAGTACTAGAGAGCCACAACAACCTACTGGGGTGAGAGAGAGAGAGAGAGAGAGAGAGAGAGAGAGAGAGAGAGAAGAGAGAGAGAGCAGACCGAGTAGGAGGAGAGGACTAATCTACAGTATGAGAGTGAATATAAGTGGGTCGAAGTGCATGCCTGCACACATCTGCCCACCAGCTTGGTTCTGTGTCTGTGCATGTTTCGCTCCCTGCATGAGCATCCAAACATGCTTTCCAGCGTGTGTGTGTGAGAGAGTGTTTGTCGCCGTAGATTACCTCATGTAGGTGTGTGTGCATGTATTCCATGAACAAGTATATAACCCATATAAGTGTAATTACATGCAGTTTAAATGCAGTTTTTCTCACTACAATTCAATGTCAGATTTTTCCCCCTGAACTGTTCCAAAAATGCTCATGAATGTGTGACAGCTAAAAAAGATTTGTTTTGTCGGATAATCTCAGTTAAGACTTTTCAATTCTCATGGCTTCTCTGCAGCACGCTCGTTATGTCACATTTATCGAAATGACTTCAGTCGTATCGACGTTGTACCAGAGTCTAAAATTTCAGAACTTTTCCAAAAGTCCACTGAGAATTAGGCAGTTTTCCAGAACAACTATTAGTCATGGCAAACAAATGTTCAAATCTCATAACTCACAGATCTTTTTTTTTTTTTTCTTTGTGATGGGAACTCCGCCAGTGTCTGTGTGTTTATGGCGGTGACATAATGTCTATGTGCACTACAGCCACAGGCTCAACCGGTACTGAATCACTGTTAAACAGATAACAATTCCTCCTGTCCAATTATACTGGCACAGAAAAAGCAGTCTTAAAAAAGACAATGTGGACTGACTCTGCCTTTCAAGGACCTCACTCAAATGGAAATCAAAAAAAGGAGAATCACCTGTGGTCATCCGCTCAATATTAAACTCTTGCAAGAGTGTGGTGCGTGTCGCATGTCTTTGGTGTGTCCTACCTGACCACAGGCTCCGGGATGGCCTCCACGTTGGCAGGGACCTGTACTCCCTTCTCCCACTCTTGTCTCCAGGGGTCTGAGAGCACGTAGAAGTCGTCCGGGCCGAGCTGGGCCGAGTCCGGCAGCTTCATGGCTGTGATGAAGTCAGTACGAAACACCTGCGCGGGCAGCGAGGTAAGAGGAAGGGGAGAGAAAGAAACACGGTTCAGTTAGATGGTCGAAAGCAGTGTGTAGAGGAGGTGAAGAGGACGGAAGGCGGGACGGCAGGACAGAGATAAGGAACGGGTGATCCATTTCATGACCTTTTTGTGCTTTTGCGATCTTCTTCTCTCTAATTCAGTTCCACCTAACGGTACAAGGGTTAGTCTACAGTACAGCACTTTTTATTCAGACCTGGGAGCAGATAAATGTATTTGTTCTTCTCTCCATGGTCGGGTTTCTGCGACTCTTGACACATTTTAAGATCAGATAGAAGCGTGAATCAAGATCATGGTTCAATTAGTGGTTAAGTTCTTTGTAAGAGACAGCAGACAGAGACTATTATTTCATGCTCTGTTTTGTCCTAAAAAAAAAAAAAAAAAAAAAAAAAAAAGGTTGGGCCCGAAAAATTGGCCTTTTTTTTTTTTTCCAAAAAAAAAAAAAAAAAAAAAAAAAAAAAGTGTTGGCACTGACAACTGTGCATCTTTTTTATTATTTATACAGTGCATCACATTACAAGCACAAATACAAACACGGAGCAGTTGTAGCTGACTGACAGGTGATCCACTGTGACACCGTCATCTGCCACTAACGTTGCTTTAGATGATGCTGACGTCGAGAGAGGAGGACGTCTCACTTCATTACAACCTCGACTCCTCTTTCCTCACATCTCTCCCTTACTCTCTCCCCCATGCAAGACGCGAGGAAGAGATGTAAGGGAGTGAAATGAGGAGAAATTGTAGCCAAATGAAAACCACCTACTGACTCATTAAAAGTGTGTGTACAGCGCGTAGGAGGACTCTATAAAAACAAAACAAGGGGTGTGTGTGACCTGAGGGAGTGGGTGTATTCATGCAGACACAATCATTCTCATACATAATGTGAACACGCACACACCTACAAAGACAAGATACACACACAGACACAGAAACACACACACACACACACAGTCTGTCTGTCTGTTCTGACATGTTCTAACAGGGACCCGAAGCGAAGATATTATCAGTCATATAGTCAAGGACATCAGCAAAGAACACACACACACATAAACACACAAACTCACATAGGAAAACAAGCAACACACACACACACACACACACACACACACTGGTGCCAAATCAACCGTATGACTTCACTCTACATTTTATCATTATTTTCTAAGCCTGCTTATCCCTGCTTTATTAGCTCTTCTCCTCTGTCCTACTCCCTCGCTCCCCCTCCTCCTCCTCTCCATTAACCTCTTCCCTCTCTCCATCTCTCTTCCCTCTCTCCCTCGGTGCCCCGATGTGTGATGTTTTTCCTTACCTTGTTTATTTTTGACCCAAGAGACACAAAGCAGAAGTGTTAAAAAAAAGAAAAAGAGACTTGTGAGAGAAAGGATGAAACTTTGCAAACCGACAGGTGTGCAGGACAGAAGGCCAAAATGCAAAACAAAAACAAACAAAAAAAAAATCATCACCAGCACACCGTCGCCCCTTATGGTTAATTTATTAAATCACTATTTTTCAGTCAAGCGACCTTCATCGGGAATTTCACACCAATAAGAATGAAACAGAAGACGAGCTGCTGGACGGAGCGAGTGCGATAAAAGAAACTGTTCAAGGAAAGAGGCAACGAAAATATTAATAACATGAAGTGAAATCTACAAAAACAAGAGGAAAAGAGAGAGAGTTTCCATTTCTATAAGATTATCCATATCACAATATACTGTATATATCGCTTTTAAAATATAAAGTTATGACTCCTACTATATAATAAAGGCACTTGTGATCATGAGGTTGCTGGTTCAAAGCGGATGCCTTAAAGACGAGCATAAAAACCCTTCGAAATATATGTTTATGCAAGTGTTTTTAAGCTGCAGCTAAGAGACATGACCGCACATGGTTGCCGGTTGTCATAGTGACACACCAAGCTTTCTGGCATGTGTGCATGTTTTTTTTTTTCTCCTTGAGAACCTTAAATGTAAGGTGTATTTTAATTTTGAATGGAGAAAAAAAAAGGACTTTCAACTGAACATGGTGCTGAATTTGACTCATTATTTTAAGTTGAATACAAGAACAACAAAAGGGTGCACATCAACGCTGACCTGCTGAAGAAAAAGAGAAGAAAAGCTAGAGGTAAAGAGGTACGAACCAGAGAAAGGGGGATAAAAGCAATCATACAGAGTGAAGAAGCACAACTGAATGGGAGGTGGAGAGAGGAGAGGAGAGGAGAGGAGAGGAGAGGAGAGGAGAGGAGAGGAGGAACGATTTAGTGCTGTGGGACGACAGGGAAATGAGGGAGAGGAGAAAAGGGAGTGATATTAATTTAAGTGAAAAGAGAGATGAAAGACAAGGACAGATGAGGATCTGTGAGTGTGAGTGTGTGTGTGTGTGTGTGTGTGTGTGTCACAGACCAGTATATGAAAAGGCCATATGTAAAAAGCAGCATCCTTGCTTCTGCTGCTTGGCTGCCTGCACCGTCTGCCAGCCAGCACAAATAAATAATGCAATGGAGCAAGAGGACGAGTGTGTGTGTGTGTGTGTGTGTGTGTGTGTTTATGAACAACACGGCATGAATGTCCACGTGCGCGTTCAAGTTTTGCCCATGTGTGTGTTCCTCTGTGTGCGTGCGCGTGTGTGTGTGTGTGTGTGTGTGTGTGGGTATGCAACTGCATGTTTTACTGCGTGAATAACTGTGTGTGTGCGTGCATGAGTGTTTTAAAAAAGAGTGTGTGTGTGCTCGTGCGCGCGCGTGTGTGTGCGCATTAGACAGTGAGCCAAGGCCATGATGAATCTTGCCTTCCCCTTCAGCAATAGGAGAGGAGGAGAGACAGAGACTGAGGGTGATCCACTCCTCCTTAATCTTTCTCTCTCTTTTTTTTTCTTTTTTCCTCTTTCTGTCTCTTTCTCCCTTTCAACCCACTTTCTCTCACTCTTTCGTCACACTCCTCAGCAGTGGGGGAGAGCAGAAGAGAAGGGGAAAGAGGAGAGGAGAGGTTAAAGGAAAAAGAAAATGAGAGGAGAGAAGAAGGGATGGAAAAGGAGGAGAGAAAGAGGAGAAGGTAGTATATCAGTTTTATTACTGTGTGTTTGTACAGGAATGACTGCGGCTAATTAATGTCTAGGAAACACTATTACAAGCTCCTGCAGTTTTATGTCCTGCCTTTTTTCTATCTCTCTGCCTCTCCAGCTCATCTCCACCCTCTCTGCCACCACTCACCCTCTTCGTCTTTTTCTTCTTTTTTTGCTCTTTGTGTGACAGACGCTCTTTTTGTGACGGATGGCTGGCAGACAGATGGAAAAGGAGCATTATAACAAAAGATGACAACACCAGGTAGACGGGCAGAAAGTCGGACAGGTAGAAGGGCAGGCGAGCGCTCGCTGTTTTCCGAACTGTCGAGGAAATTTCGGCGCAAAATATGAAATACAAATGAGGTGCATTTCCCCCCGGCTTTCAGAGAGTCAGAAAACACATCCAGCGGAAAAACGGAAAAAAACAGAGTCCTTCAAGAGCTGATTAGATTTGAGTAACTTGTTTACCCTCTACAGAGTCGGTTAATGTCAGCTGTATTTCATGCAAAGACAAAAAAAAAAAACAACGAGAAGCGCTTGGCTGTATTATAACAGAACAAGTAATGAAGAGTTATGTACGCAAGTGACAATACTAATGTCATTTCTGGCGGATTTTGGTGGACACAGGCTGTTGTGCAATGAGCCTGGAGCGGCCATGGAAACTTTTTCAGTAATTACTCAAAAAGTGCATTTCTCTCTCCATTTATCACATGATTTATTTATTGCTGGAAAGATTTTTCCACATCGATCAAGCCTAATAACTTTGTTCTGAGGACATCTGATTGAATTTTGCCATTTCCACTCAGCTTTCCAAATTTGATGAATCATAATTCGCAAATGAACATATTGAGTGGATGCCCAACTCCTACAAAAGAGGGAATGATACAGTAAATTTTCCAACAGACAGACAGAAAATCCCCTTTAGCATGCAGTTAATTCATATGTCATCACCGTCATGCATTGTATTCAGCCGCTCTTGGCCATTTTCAGTCAGATGCTCATCAAGTCTGTTTACGCATATCCTTTTATTTTTCTGCTCTAACACGGTGAAAACACCTAATTATTTCCTAAAAATGCTGCAGCGAGGTTAGCTGAAAGGAAATAGCTTCATTTACTCTTTCTACAATTATCTACACACCAGAGACACCGCCAACATCTGCCGCTCTCTTCTGTACAGCCTGTGAATGTCTGAAAAGCTTGATCATTCAGTTTTGGAATCCTACAATTTAGATAATAACTTTCTCTCCAAATCATGATTCAGCAACAATCAAATTATTGAGTTTCTGTCTAGAGAGATCCTGAGTTGCCTCATTTCCCCGAATGTGACAGGCTGTCATGCTATAAATGTCACACTCCTTTGCATTTCAATAACTCAAGTTTAATTTTTTATTTTTTTTGTTCCGTCATCAGTTTGGTTTGCATCACAAGCTATCCAATCACGCAGCGCCGAGTGATCAATGACCTCTCACTGAAACTGAATAGATGAGATTCAGCTGCTCAGACAAGGTTCCACAGAAACTCTTGTTCAGCATTAATGTGAGAGCAGGAAAATTCACACACACCCACACACACACACACACACACACACACACCACACACGCACTGGAAGCAATGCATACACACACGCTCACAAATGCACGCGCAGAGCCACACAAGCAGCCATGGTCAAATAAACACAACCGGTCTCACACACACACACGCGTAGACACACAAGCGCGCTCACACACACGCACGCACGCACGCACGCACGCACGCACGCACGCACGCACGCACGCACGCACGCACGCACGCACACACGCACACACACAAACACACACACACACACACACACACACTTTCCCCTGGCCAGTCAGTCAGTCAGTAGATCAGTATGCTGTGTTGAGTTATGGGCTGTATGCATGCAGGGC